ATCATCGGCGTTTAGGTCGATGTTAGTTACCGTGCGTCCGACACGTCGACCGAACTAGAATTGCGAGACCTTTTGGATTGAACCTCCGACGATGTAGGCGTTTTATTCCACTTTGGATCCGCTCGCAACAATTCCCATGATTTTTCAAAGTCGAAAACATGACCCATTTCGACCCGATATTATACGCATAACAAAGAATTTAAGGTTGATTCGGTGTTCTTTTTATATTATTCCCTTTCTTCTCGTATTATGCAGTCTTCCATCTTCATCTTTTCGTCGCCTTTTTTTTCTGTAAAACCTGATTTTCTCGGTTTTAGGAACTGCAACAGTTGCATTTGGACTTCAAAATGACGAGCGTGTTTTTATGGTGCTATTGAACTTGTCGTTGGTTGTCTTCTTCTTCATCATTTCACTGAGGTCTGTTTTCATCTTTAAATCCTTTATTTAACTCTAGTTCTCTAGTGGTTTTCTGTTACTAAGACTTGATGTATGAACCAGTTCATTACAAAAATAACATTATTTCAAAGTGAATTCTTTTTTCTTTTTTTGTTACCAATTGTGTACTTTACTTTTATTTCATAAAAAAAAATTTACTTTTTATTTTTAAATTAAGATATTGTATATTGAAAATCTTATCAATTAGCTTAAACTCTCATTTATGGAGCTATACATTTTTTTTTTGTCTATTTAGACATTCTAACAAATAAAATAATACACTTTTCTAACCAAAACTGTTAAAATACTTTTAAGTCATTACACTTTGAAAATATAAACATGTTTGATTTTGGTTACCTCTTATAAGTTATGCTTTTATTTTATTCTTTTCAAAGTAAGTCATTATACTTTCATTTATATCATTTTACATTCAAAAATCATAATGACTGTTTTACCCTTTTGTCTTTATTTTTCCTCTCAGAGTTATCCGATGAAATACCAACATCATTATCACTGCCTAAATCTGCAACATCACTGTTGATATCAACACCAATTGATCAAACCGAACTAGGTTGTTCTTTTATCCCTACAAAGATCATCCAAATGAGGCAGGAGCATTTTAGTCTTTTCAATCACTTCTTACTGCACACGTGGACATGGTTGTTTCTTTTCTTTTACTTAAACTAGAAAATTTGGTCTAATGAGTTAAACCATATGATTTAAGTTGTATATATACAGAATTTGGCCATTGGACTAATAATGTTAAGATGTGATGGATAGGGTAAAGAATGTATGGAACTCTAGGGTTTTAATTGAGAACATTTATAGGTTTGCCTTTTTATAATTTATTTGTTAAATTCCAAATAAATCATTATTATGACGATTAATCAATAAACATGATAATAAATCGAAGTTCTAATTATGAAAAGAGGGAAAAAAAAAAAAATTAAAACCGTGTTTTTATATCTTCTATTGGGATATGATTTTCTTTGGTAAAATAAAATCAAAATTGAAGTAGGGAAACAAACGAATAGAAAGGTTAATGTTTTTTATTTCATTCTATTTCTTCTCATTATTATTTTTGTTTTTTAAGAGGTCTGCGGAAGAAAGTTTGAAAGACATTCGATCGAAGGACCAAATTTCAATAGTTTGAAAGACATTCGATTTTCAGAACTTCTCTCACCAAATCTGAGATCCGTGGTAAGATTAGGTTCTATACTTATCTCCGATTCAAAATCGATAGGCGTTGTGTAATTTCAACATTGTTTCAGATCCTTGTACCCCTTGTAACCTTTGATTTATGTGCCGATTCATGATGTTCTGGATGTTTTACTCTTCGAACTATGTAGGATTTCTACAGAGATAAAAGAAGTAATTAGCGTCTGTAGACATGGATCCCGATTCAGTTAAATCGACTCTGCAGACTCTAGCATTTGGAAATGTAATGGCTGCAGCTGCTCGTGATTATCAGAAGGTATTTGTATTTCTATGTCATGAAGTTCAAATTCTCTTACGATATTAATTTCACTTTTTTTTTTCAAACACTAGATTTCGTTGTAGGGTTTGTAAACTGAGATTGAGATATGTTTATCAGAGTCCAATTGCCGTAGTTTCTTATTCCGGTAGTTTACTGTAGTAATAAATTCTATGTTTATCCCAAAAGATCCATATTTTGAAGCTAAAAACTAGTAAAACCAGTACTCTGTGAAGAGAATGCTCAACATATTCAAGATTTGTATTGAATTTTATAAATAGTGAGCATTCTGCTCCTTCACATTGATGAATGAAAGTGCAAAAATAGCAACTGATGAAGGGTGAATGATTTTAATGAATATTTTGCTCCTTCACATTGATCAATAGAACTCATGTATCTATCTATTTAATTCTCTTATAGGAAGTTGCAGCTCATGAAAAGGCACAAACATCATCCTCTGTCAATGAGGAGGTTGATCTAGATGATTTGATGGATGTAAGTTGTAAATTCATGTTTATTGTATAACATATGTTTTTAATCAAAATTTTCATTTTAATTCCACTTTTATGTAACTGTATATCAGGATCCTGAGCTGGAAAAGCTGCATGCAGATAGGATTGCAGCTCTTAAGGTTGCAATTTGATTATTATAATGCAAACACAAGTAGAAAATGAAATTTGGAAAGTCTTTTTAAGTCTCATTTGCCTTTTATGGTTTTTATTAAATTTTTTGTTGGAAAAGAGAGAAGCTGAAAAGAGACAATCATTAACAAAAAAAGGGCATGGAGAGTATAGGGAGATAACTGAAGGAGACTTTTTGGGTGAAGTCACTACCAGTGAAAAGGTGATTTGCCATTTCTACCATCGGGAGTTCTATCGCTGCAAGTAAATGACCATTTTGCCCTTTCAAGACTCCTAACAAACAATTTTCACCATATACTTTCTTGATATGTATAATATCTGTTATTATAGGATAATGGATAAGCATTTGAAGTCTCTTGCAACAAGTCATCTTGATGCCAAATTTGTTAAGCTAGATGCAGAGGTTTGTATTATCATTATTAACATCAATTTTTTTATTCTCTCTCTCTCTCTCTCTATATATATATATATATATATATATATATATATATATATATATATATGTTTTTTTAACATTTTTAAATATTACGTACAGAATGCCCCGTTCTTTGTGACAAAACTAGGAATCAAGACATTGCCATGTGTGATATTGTTCAGGTCAGACATGTTTGTTTTCCTTTTCTATGTTATATTTTATGGGATTAAAAATTCAACTTTTTTTTTTTTTTTGTCTCAGAAAAGGAATTGCAGGAGATAGGCTTGTTGGGTTTCAAGATCTTGGAGGAAAAGACGATTTCAGCACAAGGAAGTTAGAAGCTTTATTGATCAAGAAAGGTAACATTTTTTCTTTCTAAAAGTTCATGTACTTTAAAAAAAAAACATATATATAAAAAGGGAAAAAAAAAAAAAAAGGGTTAAATGAAAGTAGGATGCTATGAAAAAATAAATAAATGAAATTATGTTTTGTGTAGGTATAATTGAGGAGAAGAAAAAAGATGAGGATGAAGAAGCTGAATATGATGAAAGTAGACGTAGGACAGTTAGATACTCTGGAATTCATGATTCCGACTCTGAATAACAAAAAAAGGAGAAAAACTAAAATGACTCTATTTCTCAAAAGTATTAATTCCATTTCCAAATCTTATATGTTATATATGTATAATTAAATGTTTGCAAATTTGATATATGGTGTGTTTGAATTTAAATAGTTGCTATCTAGTTCATCATCAAAATGTATGTATTTGATGATGGCAAGTTTATTAAACTGACGTAGAAGAAGGCTATGTGTTGATTAATGTGGTACACTGACTCGATAGTTGGTTAGATTTGTATGGATTGAAACTGTAATTTTGTAATTTCTTGTGGGAAAAAATTGGAAATTTGTATGACTCGATTGTTATAGTTCGAATTGTCTTTTCTCATCTATATCAACATATTATTTTTATAAAAAAAGCAAATAAAATGTTATTAGGCAGTTTATTTTTTTGGCAGAGAAATTTTTTTATCAAGTGTATCAATATGTAGAACAGAATTTTGGGTTTTTATTGAGTGTATCGATACGTAAAACAAAATTATGGACAGTGGACGGGTGTGATAAAAAAAATATTGATTTTATTTTCATCTGTTGCATCGGTATGTAATTTATTATTATACATTGTATGATGATAACAAATTTATCCAAATAAACAACAATAAAATAAAAAGATTATCATCAATTAAAACACAATTTAATGAAATTAAGTTAATATATATATATATAAAATATCATAATTTGACCTTGTCATCATGTTATTTAAAACATTTTGTCAACAGATTCATAGAAGTAATTTGTTGATTTACCGACAACAAATTAGCATTTGAATAATTTTAAACTCATACAAAACAAATAAAATTTGATTAATCATTAGATTGTACATAACTTATTTTATGAAACTCAAAATTTAAACATGTCTAAATCATTTGATTTACATCTTAAGTAATTAGATTGTACATAATCAATTTTATGAAACTCTAAATTTAATATAACGCTCTGTTTCGAATCATTTTCTATTTTGGGGTGGTGATCAGAGATTGGGTATTAGTAGACTTAGCACCCTTGAGGAATTGAGATTTGGACTCATTTGAGTTGGATAATGTAATTTGGATGAACTAGGTATTCGGTTCATGTTTTAGAGTCAAAGGGTATTTCGGTAATTTGTCAGCTCGGGCTTCTATGGAAAATGGATGTTTGTTAGTGATTTGGTAAGCCATGTATGACTTGATTGAAGTTTAGAGCTTCTCGTTACATTTTTATGGATATAAGGATCATCGGAATCAGAATTATAACGAAAAAGTTATGGTCTTTGAAATATGATAGGGTTTGTGGGGAAACCTTACTACGTGGGGCATACTCATGCGAAGGGCATTACGTTGCGCATAATGTTGAGTACGC